GGGCCAGTAGGTAAACAAAATGGGAAAATATTTTAGTTCTTGAAAACTTATATAATTTTAGTTTTTATATTTATTATAGAAATTTATGCATAATTTTTTTCTATCAAGTTCCTTAGTAACCAGGACTCTGAGCATTGTCTGCGTTGTCAAAACACAAAATTAGTGCATGCTTTTTTAGAGTATTCAGAGGTAAAACAAACTATTGTCTGGAATTAAATTAGCCATAGCATGTTTTCTCAGTGATAATTTGAAAATCACAGAATTAGAAAAAAATCTATGCTTTTTGAAGGCGTTAATTTTAAGCATGCTGCTCAACGATTTGTTTACTTGTAAAAATAAAAAAAAATTAAAAAGTGGAAATCTGCAAATTATACTGCCAAAAAAAAAAAACCTTTGAAAAAGAAGTTAAGTTTTTGGCAGTATGATGTCAGTTATAAATTAATTGGAATAATGAATATTTAATTGTCGGAAAAAAAGACAATGAACCAACTATAAGTAGACGTGGATTATTTAACAAATTTAGAGATATTTTAACACCTCTTGCAACAGAACGCATTTAACAGTTGACTATTATACTAGTTTTAACCTACTGTGGAAATCTTTGCCTCAACCTTCTTGTATATTAACAAAGCGATTCATTCTTGGTTTGTCATGCTAAAACATTACAATCTACTTTGATGTTGTCAACCATTCAAAAGCACCAAGAAATAATAGCAACCTAATTTAAATTCCGATACTCCGACTTGAATTTGCCAAAAGTTCTTTCAATTACTCTGGTGCAAGATTCTATAATAAGCTACCATTAGAAACTAGAAAAATCAACTCGTTGACTGAATTTAAAAAAGAATTAAAAATTTATTTAAAAAAATATTTTTTCAAACGTTTCCGATAACCTTACTACTTCAATTGATTATAATTTTTTATTTTATTCTATAACATTGATAACAGAATTGCAATAAGTTCTGAAATCATTTATCCTGTATAAATATTTGTCAAATAAAAATAAAATGTTGTTGCTATGCTATTCAAAGTAAGGTATCCATAGTGATCTTGAAATTTACCTTTATAAGAAGTGTCAATATCATTTTAATACACACGCCCAATATTGTATACTTAACGCAAACAAAAACTTTTTAAAACAATATTAATGTAACGATGGATAGTTGCTATGCATAGTTAAGTGCCATAGCAAATAATTTAAAACATGTATAAAATCTGAACTTAAGAATTCAATGGAAACTCGAATGAAGCATTATACAGCTCAAATAAATATAAGGCAACACACGGCAAATTGTGTCATTTATTAGTTATAGTGCGGCAAAAAATAAATTCCTAAAGATTTTTTTCTAAATTTGTGATTTTCAAAATATTCCTGAGAAAACATGCTATGGCAAAAATATTTTATCTCTAAATACTCTAATAAACCATGCAATAATTTTGTGCTTTGACAACGCAGAACTTATTGAAATATTAAACAATGTTGATGTCACCAAATATATTTATTTATAACTATAATTTTTCAATATCTAATATTTAAATGTTCAGAGTCGTGGTTACTAAGAGACTTAAAAGAAAAAAATTATGAATGAATTTCTTTTAATGTAGAAACTAAAATTAAATAAGTTTTCAAGAACTTTCCCATTGTCCACCTATTGTCCACCTATTGTCCACCTATTGTCCACCTATTGTCCACCTATTGTCCACCTATTGTCCACCTATTGTCCACCTATTGTCCACCTATTGTCCACCTATTGTCCACCTATTGTCCACCTATTGTCCACCTCTTAGCCCACCTATTGTCCACCTATTGGCCCACTGCGCTTTGCAAGGTTTAAATTTCTTTTCTAAGTTTTAGACCTATTCTTGAAAGCCATGAATGTTTAACTGCAAATTTGTTTATTTCAGTTTTTTTTTTTTTTTTAACAAATTAACAAACTAACTTAGAGTACAATCTATTTTTTTTAACAATTTAAAAAATTGTATTAAGACGATGACTTATTGAAACTTTTGAGTTAAAAGTATTGATATATCAGTTTTAAGTCTTGTTTTGTATACTTCTTTAGCTATGTATACTTACAAGTGTCGTGTAATTGAGGTACAGGGTGGCCCATAAGTCACTTTACATTTTAAAAATTAAATAACTTTTTCTTAAACGACTGTATTTAATTAATTCCTTTTTTTTATTACAAAATTTAGAGTCTGTAAGTTAGTTCTGACTTAGTTACGAAAGATAATGTCTCTTAAATAGCCTCCATTCTCGTCTTCACAATGTCGAGCTCTTTTTAAGCTATTCTCCACAACACTTCTTAACATCTGAGGTTGTAGGGAAAGAATTTCCTGTCGTATGTTTGCCTTAAGATCTTGAATAGTTTAGGGCTTATTTGCGTACACTTTGTTTTTAAGATCTCCCCAAAGCCAAAAGTCTGGTGCTGTCAAATCAGGAGAACGTGGAGGCCATTCAAAATTAGATTTAAGAGTTATTATTCGATCCTGAAACATTGCAGTTAACAACTGCATTGTGGCTCTAGCGGTATGTGCAGTTGCTCCATCTTGTTGCCACTAATACCCTGCCATGTTTGCTAACAGAGGTTGAACAAAATTCGCTAAAATGTCTTGATATTTCTCAGCAGTTATAGTCACAGCATTTTCATTTACATCTTCAAAGAAGAAGGGCACAATAACCTTTTCTGATGTTACTCCACACTATGTTATGATTTTAACCGGGTGTAATGGACTCGCATGAACTTGGTGTGGATTTTCGGTGCCCCAGAATTTGATATTCTGCTTATTAACATGTCCGTTCAAATGGAAATGAGCTTCATCTCCCATGATCAACTTGTGAATAAACTCATTGTCATTTCTTGCAGTTCTCTGAAACCTGACAGCATAATTTAGTCGTTTCTGAAAGTTTGGTGGTTGTAAAGATTGCACAAATTTAATCTTGTAATGGTACATGTGCAAGTCTCTTTGAATGCGCTGCAGAGAACTCCGTGAGATGCCAAGTTCTTGAGAACGCCTTTGAGTGGATGTGGTTGAGTTCTCTTCAATGCTACGGCTCGCAGCTTCAGTATTTTCACGTGTGCGTTCTGAACGAGATCGTCCACTTCTAGTCCTATCACTTCCAGAGCCATGCTCTTGAAAACGCATCACTAAGTTCATTATTGCAGGCCTACTAGGGAGATATCGAACATTAAAATGGAGTATATACGTTATTTACGTTGCAACAATTGAAATTCACAGTAAAATTCACTTATCTTCACTCGTTGTTCTATTGTAAACGTATCCATACTAAAAATTTCTAAAGATTATATTTTTTAATTCTGAATAGAGAAATAGAAATATATTAAAAGAAAAAAAGTTATTTAATTTTTAAAATGTAAAGTGACTTATGGGCCACCCTGTATATAATGATAGCAACGTCAAGTAGAAAACAAACATGTTTCGTTGCCATGAGTACACGCAATCTTATATAAACGCGTTTTAAAAATTAAAACAAGAACAAAAAGCAAAGATTTTGTGGAGAAAGTTGCAAAAAATGCAGAATCATTCGAAAATGCAAATTATTTCTTAATCAAAATATAATATTCAGAACATGATAAAAACCGAAAAGTCAATGAAATGAAAAATACTGCATTTATATAAATTACATTCTTGTAACATCCTACTTACAAGTTACTTTTGCAAAACGAAAATGGTGCATATATGAAAGTCTAATAAGATCTGTTACATATCGTCATTTTAGAACTATTCTTACATCTGACTTCAAGTGAAGCGAACGTATTCAATCAGTAGGTTTGAAATCTCTGAAATTTGATTTTATGCTGCAAAAGAAATTCACTTACGTCGATAAAAGTTTTGACTCCAATTAAACAAAGTGTTTATATAACCACACTTTGATTATGTCCTTTCCTTATTTGAGAACTGATGCACCCTTGATGCACCCTTGATTGTATAAGTTCAACAAAACGGGGATCAATCTTGAGACACCATCAATAATGTTGACGACTGCAAAAATGATTTCTACCACCACTTCGTTTTTGGCACTTTCGGTGCAATTTATTTCGAACCCGGAAACTATAACACATCGGTTTAATATAGTTAATTATATATACCTTGCAAAAGTTATTAGCTCCCTGTCACGTCATTCAAAAATAAAGCCAATAATAAAACAGATAAAGAGAATTCTATAATGAGTGACCAGAGCATGTAACATTCTACTCAACTGTGCATCAGAACAAATATTTAAAAAACTGGTTGTTTATAGTGTGGTATTTTCTCTGCTCTCTGTATGTATATGTTGCATGTATATTTTTTATTTGCGTTTATGTGATATTTTCAAGTTATATCTTCAAGAACAACATCTATAAATGTCCTTGCGCATTTTCATTTTACAATGTGATAACCGATAATAAGCCTTGGAAATGCTAGAGGGAGTGAAAGCGATGTCTCTAACAGCAAAATTCACTAACCTCCAAAACACAATACTATTGCGCTTAGTTTTTCCTTTATGTTGTTGTAAAATACTTCATAAAAATTGTAAACATTTTGTGTTTTGCACAACCAACAACAACGTTGGAGAGAGTAAGAGAACTAATATTTTTTAGACAAAAATCCTCAGAGGGAGAGTTCTTTTGGAACTTTTACAGCGTTTTAACGTAGCCGACAACAACACAGTCTTGTTTGTATTGTGGTATTTGCATAAGTTAAATACATATATATATATATATATATATATATATATATATATATATATATATATATATATATATATATATATATATATATATATATATATATATATATATATATATATATATATATATATATATATATATATATATATATATATATACATTTATATATATATATATATATATATATATATATATATATATATATATATATATATATATATATATATATATATATATATATATATATATATATATTACTTATAACATTTAAAAAACGTTTTTTTTATAAATCTAAAAACTCTTGTGAATATGCCTCTCTTTTGTAAAATTTTACAATTACTGTCATCTTTGTTTTTGTTGGTGTTCTCCAAAAAAGAACAACTTGAGTTGGTTAGATAACTTTGAATGGGTAATAAATAATCATTTATTAGAACATTGTACTCTATTTTACTAACGTTTGATGACAAATTTTGAACAGAAGGTCTATGCGAGGATTTGTTGAACTTTTTTCTTATAAACATCCTGATCATAAAACATACTATTGACGTTTAAAGTCAATAGACTGTTGATCAACAGCAGCAATGCTCTAATATCGACGTTTTTTGATTGCACGCAGACTTCAGATAAAGCTCTTCGCGAACAAACGGATTTCTCTAAATACTTGTTTTCTATAGCAAAATAAACACAGTAAATAAAGAATAGTTATTTGAGGCTTTACGTTTTTCAACCCAAGTTTTAAATAAACAAAGAACTTAAATATTTGTCAAGAAACCTGCCTGCGTTATAGTTGGTGTCGACAACAGTTTTTATAGAACTTTGGTTACCGAATGCACTTAAGGTACCTTTTCTTTGATTATCACAAATAGACATTTCATGAATGTTTTCCAGAGAACGGAAAAGTGGAAGAGAAGCTCTTTCATTATCAGCTACTGTTTTGAGTAGCATTTCAGACGCTGCACGTTTTATTTTATGAATACATATTTGAGAGTTTTCATCGGCAACTAAATACTCTTTGCTTTTTCTTGCATACCTGCATTCTGTTTTTGACGGTTTCTTATCAAAAATTTCGTTGAAATCAAAATTCGAAGTAGTTTGAACAATGTTTTTTGAATAAAGCAGCTCACTCATTTCTTTAAATACGATAGTTTTCCTTATTAATGAAGGACAAACATTTTCTTTATGAGCCTCTAAAAATGAAAAGAAAAAGAATTTTAGTACGTTCTATTTTGTTCACTCCATTGATTTTTACAGTTGGTTTTGAGAGTTAAAAAATTAATAAATTGTTTTGAACAATTTTATTATTGCTTAAAATTTAACGATGGAAAACAGAAATGTCCAAAATGCTTATCAGTTAAACAATCAGTGTCATAACTTTTCTGCATTACTCTTAGACAAAGTCTAAGAGTAATGCAATAAAGTCATGAGACTTTATTGCATTACTCTAAGTGATGCAATAAAGTCTTATCTTGTGTGTTTGCTTTTTTGTTTATGTGAGGGTCCCAAACAGCATATTAAAAACAGTTTGATTTCTTTTTTGAAGAAAATGGGAATAAATATCTTACCTTGTTTAGCTAAGAAGTTTTTTTAATATTTTAAAATCCTTGATTTTTTTACCCAAGTTGATGTGTATTTTGAATTCATTTAAATTTTTTCTTATGACTAAATAAAAACAAACACATATGTTAAATATTATTCAAAAGATAAATTCGGCAAAGATTTATTACGATTGTTTACTACGAATATTTATTTGCTTAACTTAAAAAGTTAACACAATTTGCACTGCAATGGAAGGTCATTTAACCAAGAAGTTAATGGTCCTTCTTTATTTATTATGTCGCTTACTAAGTCTAAGTCAGCCGAAAAAAGGCCCGACGTTCAATAGCTCGGGCTTCTTTGTTCTAAGCCAGAACTCTAACTAATACCCCATGGCTCTAACACTAATGTAAAAAATTTATTATAAATAATAAATGTAAACAACAAGAATTTTTATAAAACTTTTTAAATGAGTTTTTAGAACTATATTTAATATAAGCTACTTCTGATTATAGTTTATATGATTCTGTAAACTATAATCTTTATATACTATTGTATAAAGTAAATTTCTTTATATGGTTAAATAAAATATCTTCTTAAAAATATTTGATCTAAGAAAATCTTCTTGTTTTTAGGTGTTTAAGGGTGATATGACGCTAACAAATATCTCACATTTAAAGTAGTATTTTTTGGTTGTTCTCTTTTTTTATTATTATTATTATTTTTTTTTTGCCTACCACAGTATATCCAGACATAAATAGACGTTGTTCAAAAATAATATGTTAGAACGTGGGTATTAGTGTTTTTTAATTACTATGAGAACGTGGTTACTAGTATGGTATATAGTTTATAGAATATTATATAGTATAGGTAGTGATCCGGTCATCAAAAATCGATGTAAATCAATGCGTATGAAATGAATATATAAAATTTTTTATAGCTAAATTATAAAATGAAATTTATAAAAATTACAGCATTATATTACTTTGTGCCGGCATCAAAAAATAAGAGCATATAATCTTAGAAAAAGATTAAACATTGTATTCTTTTTAAAAATTAAATAATTTCAGTTTTAAGTAAAAACTGTTTTTCATTATAGAAAAATTATAAACGAAATCTTGCTTTTAATCATAAACAAATTTGATTTGCACGTTTTAGATCAGCCCCTTAATGCTAATAAAAACGCTGGTATGACGAAGGTGTTAAGGGTTTAACTGTCTTTGAAAGTAAAACGAGAATAAGAAATAAACGCATTAGTAATTTTGATTTGAAGGCGTAGACTCGTTTGTTAAGTTAATTATATTTAAATTTTACTCCATTTATAAAAATTTATAAATGCCAACTTAACAAAATCCTAAAATGTTTTTTTTTAAAAAAAAAAAAAAAAGCACTTTTTATGTTTTTTAACAAAATAAATAAAATAAACAACATTTTTTTAATAAACAACAGTTTTTTGTTTTGAATGTGATATTTTGGCTTATTTAGTTGGAGCCATTTTTAAGTTTTGAGTTTGAAAATGGCTCAAAATATCACATTTAAAATTAAAAAAATCTAATGGATAAATAAATAGTATATCACTGTATATGATGTATTTTCATTTTTATATATAATTTTCATCATACTATTAAGATGTCATTAAAATATTATATATACAGTGGTTTTCATAAATTTAGACGCACTCATATTTGAGAATAATAATTTTTAGTTTTTCAACGATAAAACAATGACGAAAAAAGATTTTAGTTTAGTTTTTTTTCTATTTATTAGATAAATACATACAGAATACAAAATTTAAAAAAAGTTTACAAAAAAAATGAAAGACTACGTAATAATTAGGTACAACTACATAGTATTAAAAAAATTAGACAAAAAAAATTATTCATAAATTTAGACGCACGATACATTAGAAGGCGTAATTTATGAACCAATCAATATTTTGTGTATCCGCCTTTTTCTTTAATACAACTAAGAACTCTTCTAGGCATAGACTCAACAAAATTTTTGCACATCGCTTCTGGGACCCCATACCAGTTCTCCTTAAGTAATTCCTTCAGCTAAGTAAGTGTGGAAATTTGAACCTTTGCTAATTCACGGTCAATCCAAGCCCAAATGTTTTCAATCGGGTTTAAATCAGGTGAGTATGGAGGCCACGGTATTGTCATGATACTATTATCGTTGAACCACTCCTTTGCATAGTATGCAGTATGTGCAGTAGCGCCATCTTGTTGAAGTTTCCATGGTTTATCATTGAGCATAAGCAGGTCAATTGATGGAATTAAGTTGTTTTCCAGTACTTGTACGTATTTTCTGGAGTTGATTCTTCCGGTGTATATTTGGCACATACCAACACCTTTGTAATTGAAGCATGACCAGATTCCTATTGAGCCTCCTCCACTTTGTACAGTTGGTCTAATGTACCTGGCATAATACTTTTTATGAGCCATTCTTTTGACTGTTATGTTAGATTTGCGATTGATAAGCTCAAAGTTACTCTCATCACTCCACATAATGTTTTCCTATCGTTCTATTGTCCGATACCTTCTTTCACGACACCATTTTAGTCTCCTTTGTTTATCATATGGACGCAGAAGCGGTTTCTTCAAAGCAGTGTAGACTCCAATCTTGTTTTTGATAAGTATTCGGCGGACTGTGCTTTGAGAAATAGATGTATTTCGCGTTGTATTGAATTCTGTGGTTGAATCTCTGTAACTAATTCTTGGATTAGCTCTGACAGCTCTAAAATGAACATTATCGTCCTTTCTGGTGGTTGACAAGGGTCTACCTTTCCTCGTTTTTTCGCTGGCACCACTAGTGTGAAGAAAGTTTTGTTTCGTTGTCCGAACGCATTTCTCAGAAACTCCAATTAACTTGTAGATTTTTTTATTACTTTTGGTTCCTTCTTTGATGTGCGCATTAATTTGCCATCTTTCACCTTGAGTGATACGTCTATTGCCCATTTTTCGCGTCTTTTTAGTGCGAAACTAACTTAACTTTTGTTTATTTATTAAATAATGATTAACTAATTCCAGGTAAGTCATATTTATATAAGATTTTTTGACAGAATCAATTACTTTAGGCCTATTAATGAGAAATACGGGGAAAAAACTACTAATTAACTATTAATTAACAAGATATAAGACTTATTTGATTGTGCGTCTAAATTTATGAACAAAATAAAATCAAGCTTATCAATTAACTTTTTTGTGTTAATCGGTATAGAATGAGTAATAAACATCCTGTAAAACAAATTAAGGTACTCTTTAATAGAGTTTCACTTCCTCTTGTAAATTATATATCAAACATAGCGGTAGTACTTTTATTTTATTTTTATTTTGAGTATTTTCTAACATATATGAAAAAAAAATGAATGCGTCTAAATTTATGAAAGCTACTGTATTTATATATGTATATATATTTGAAAATGTATTTACCTTTTGTTTCAAACATCTTTTACTTTATTAAAATATACTTTTTCAATTGTTTTTGTCAAAATAAACTTGTTTCTTTTAAATATGCTTTAAAAACGATTCCAATTTATGAATTACTTCTATCACTACAAATATCAATGTTGAAATGTTAAGATTATTTTTTGTTTGCATATTATAACAAAACAACAATTTGACGTCATATTAGGGTTCGCTTGGTGAAAAAGGTGAAAAATTTTCAAATTATTTGACGTCATATTTTAAATCTTTGTTTTTAAAATTTTTACTTATTATATTTTAATTGTTTCAATATCAAATCTTGTTTTGCGTGAATTTGTATATTTAAAGTAAAAAGCATAAACACCAACAGCGTTCTAACTAAATTTTTCTTTGTAATATCTCTTCCTATTATTCGTCTTCAGACCTATAAATTACAAAAAAACTTTTACAATTACTACTTAAAAACGTAAAAGAAGACATTGAAAAGAAGCCATAAATGATTAGATAACGATGCAATAATAAAACTGGCAGCCATTATTAAGTTTTTTGTTTTGGAAATTGTTTTTAAGGAAAGACCTTCTACTATTTGCGGGTACTTTGACACCATTGTCACGGTTGAGAAGTATTGGAGCACGTTTTACTTCTTGGTCTCGTTAGAACCCTAATTTTATATGTCTAATGTATATACCGTCACCAGAACATGCGATTTTTATGACACTGGGTTTGCGTTTCCGAATAATTTTAGACTTGTTATTGCAAATATTTAATTATACAGATATTTTGCAAGTGCTATGTTTACTATATTTATGCATGAGTACCAATATGAGACCGAGTTTCTTTTAAAAGTTAAACTTTTTTCTTCTATTTTATTTCTATATAAATACTTAAATGACAATTAACAGATAATTTTCTTTGATACAATGAAATAAATTGGTTTTTGAATAAATTTTATTGGATTTTTGACTCATTACTAAATAACTATTAAATTTTCAAATAATTATTAAATATTTAGGTATTAATTTTTTAGCAATAATGAAAACAACCAATAGTGCAAGAAAAGATTTTTCAAGTAATTGTAAAAGATCTGAAGTTAACGTTTTATGATTTGTTTGGTGTGATTTACGCAGTCATGAAATAACAGGATCACTGAAAAACAGGAGCCTGATTTCAATATCAGATCAGTATTTGTTTCTCTTCTGGATGTTTTTCGGCTAAAATTTTTCGATAAGATTTGAAGTCTTTGTTTCATAGAGAATTCAAATAAGGTGTTTCTGGTCTTTTTGCACGTGCTTGATTTTTTGAGATGATTTTGCACATTGCATTTAAAAAAACTCTATTTATCTAATCTAAAAATTTTAGAAAATTATCTGTAACCAATCAACTGTGTTTACAGATATCTGTAACCAATCAAAAGATACCTCTTCTTTGTGTTTTTTAAATGCAAAAGAAAAGAAGTGGTATCTGTAACTCAACAAAAGATTCAGACTGATTTTATGAAAAAAGTTGGACTTATTTTTAATTTCCCCAAAAGTGGTGCTTCTGGATCAAGCAACTATGGCAATACTTCAAGACGTTTTTTGCAGCATTTGAGCAAAATGCTGAAATTATCAAAAATGGTAACATTTTTTTCACGATATAAAATAGACTGCTTCAAATTCAATGATTTAATGACAAAAAGTATTGATACCTGGGTATGACATAATTCAAAGCCATACGTTACCCATTGAATTTAAGTCAGAGGATGCTCAAAAAGAGAGAAACAAAGACTTCAAATCTTATTGCAAAAATATTAGCCGAAAAACATTCAGAAGAGAAACAAATACTGATCTGATCAATAGGCTCCTGTTTTCCAGTGATCTTGTTATTTCATGACTGCGTAAATCACACAAACAAATCATAAAACGTTAACCCACCCAGTGAAAATAAAACCGCGTTCCACATGGGTTCCATGTGGGTTCCGTGTGGAATTCATAGAATTTATATGGGACGGATTTTCCCATGTGGTATCCGTATGGAAATTTGCCACTTAAAACCCATATGGGTAAATCCCACATGGGTTACATGTGGTATTTACCCACGTGGGATTTTTTCATGTGGTATCCGTATGGAATTTTGCCACTTCAAACCCATATGGGTAATCCCACGTGGATTACATGTGGGAAGCATATGATATTTATCCACATGGGAAATCCCACGTGGGTTTCTTGTGGGATATACATGGGATTTTATTTGAAGGCTGGAAACTAAAATAATCTTAAATGTTAAAAACAACATAACATTACTTTTGCGGTGAAGTTACATGCATTTCGTTTTAGCATAAAACTATCTTAAATTGATTTTTAAAAATGGCAAGCAAGTATGTAAGTACTACAAATAATTTGTATCTCTATCGAGTTAAGAGTTTTTGTGCAAATAAAAGTATTATTAAGATGATAATAGTTGTTTTAATATCAGTATATATAGTAAAATAAATAAGTTTAAAATTCACATAAATTCCTTTTTCTTTAATGAAAATGGAGAGAAAAAAAGAAAGGGGAGAAATTCGGTAACTTTTTAGGCTTAAAAACTCTTAATTTAAGATTTCTTAAAGGACATTTAAACTACATTGAAGAACCTAAACAGGAGATTTACAGAAACATTTCAATTTTTAACCTGAATACCACTGTTTAACAGTGTAGGTACGTACATAAAAATTTTAAACCGTTTATATATAAGACTATTATATATCATTGGAAAGAGCTTTAAATTAATATTAAAATGGCGAAAATTTCATAGAAAAAGAATGATTCTATAAAAAGTTATGCAAGTTTAAGTATCAAAATTTAACAACAAAGATTACTTAAGAAAACTGCGACCAACATTAAAATTTCACGTTCGGCTAACGGTAGTTTTGTAATAGAACATTTTTGCAAACTCGCGCAGTATTTTTTTCTCGGGTTTGAATTTTTATTGAATAAAGTGTCAAAGTAGCGAATATAATAATTTAGTTAATCAAAATATTTCTTATGTAAAAAAAAAATCAAATTAATTTCCTTAGGTATATAACAAATATTGCGAACACCATATAAAAACGATTATAATAATATTGCGTACATTTTAAAGACAAAAATATTTAACAGTAAAACGCTTCTTCTTATCAAGTATAAAATTTATAGAATATAGGAAAAAACGAGTCGCTGAACTATCTGATGTTTTTTTCTGTTCCTATTTTAATGTCTATATTTTTACTCCGTTTCACAAAAATTTTTAATTACACTCTTATAAAAAAACATGTTTAAAAAGAAACAAACGTGTATTTTTTTGGAAGGGCCTTAAATAATAGTGGAACTAGTCCAATTGCAAAAAGATTCATTAACGAATTTTTTTTTATCTCTCATTAAAATTTATTAAAAATACATAAGAGGATACAGAAAACGGGTCACGGTTCCTAGTTATAGCAAATAAGTTAGCTCTATTGGTTTGATTTTATCTTAAAGTTTAATTTTATTCTGTAAAGAATATATCAGTACGAAGTAACAATTTAAAAGAGAAAAAATATTAACATAACTAAAGTCTCTTTAACAGAGATGACATTTGCTTAACATTTCTTCCAGTATTTTTTGAGGCTGTAAAATTAATAAAATTTTTAATTTATTAATATTTTAAAGGCCTCACATTTTCCTTATAAAGCATAAGGAAGATATAGAAACGGGTCACGGATCCTAGTTATGTCAAATAAGTTAGCTCTATTTGTTTGACATTTCTTAAAGCAACTTTTCTGCAACAAATTCTCAACTAATTCTTTCAAGTTATTTTTAACACCAGTTTTAGCAAATTATTAAACTAATATAGCTATGATTTGTACCGAAAATCTCGATCCGTATTTTCCAAGGTAATAAAAGTATAAACGGTCTCTATTCATATATAAAAACATAACGAAAATATAAAGAAAAACAAAGCAAAACGAACAATGTATGTAATACAACACTATAATTTCAATGAGAAAAAATTTACAAATTTATGTGAGAAGCAAAACACATTTTTCTTGAGATAAAAAAAAAAATTTACGTTCAAAAAAAAAAAATTTTTTTAAATATTATATTTAACATTAAAAAGTATCGGAAGTACTTTATAAAATCAAATGGAATTGTTTTTTTATTGTATAGCCTTTAGTAAATGGTATAAAAATTAACAAAACTTCCTTTTGGCTTTTAGAAAACGATCAACAATAAGAGAAGGAATTCAACCTAAAAATGTAACAAAATTATTGAAAACACTTATTACACATGAATGTATACGTAATCAGTTAATTTAAATAAAAACTCAAAAATGTGATAACAAATAACAAACTTACTTTAAGAGATTTTTTTGTGTGCGTATTTTTGTGAAAAATTTCAAGATTTATTGTTGCAAGTTTGGACTATGAACTCTTTTTAAAAAAAGCAACGCTAAAAATAATTAAAAAAAGATAATTCTTTACATTTTAATATAAAAATTGAATCCTTGGCTTTTAGTGAATGATTATATATAATCAGTTTCAGTAATGAAACAATCCAATAATCATTTTTAACGATAGACACCGACGTGAAGGTAAGCCAAGTCGTCTATCAACACAAAACATCACAACAATAACATCACACGATTAACAAATAGCACAAAACGTTACAGTAAACACTCAATAACTGAAACCACCAAGGGACCAAGAAATTAGCTTATTAGAAAATGTTTAGGATTATTGAAAGCATATTCCATAAACAATTGGATCAATTGAAATTTCAAAATTAATTCAAGTTATTAAGGGTTATTGAGTTATCCAGATTTTATAGAACTTTTTTTATTTACTAACAGCATAACATACTTATAAGTACACATTTTGTGATTACAACAGACTTTATTATGTGTTTCATGACAGTACACCGCTTGGCTAGCAAGGACAACACTCTTGCCATAAACAAAGCCAAGTCACATTATTTAAAGTACACCGCTTGGCTAGCAAGGACAACACTCTTGCCATAAACAAAGCCAAGTCACAATATTCAAAGTACACCGCTTGGCTAGCAAGGACAACACCCTTGCTGTAAACAAAGCCAAGTCACACCACTTTGAAACCATGGAAACAACATAATAAATACTTTTAAACTATAAAAGCATAACATTATAACACATAATACCCTTTATATAATACAGTGATTTACACATTTATTAAACATAAATACTTACAAAATATATACAAAATATAACCTTAACACATATATAAACACATAATAAAAAACACACAATACCGTATTAAATAACACATAAAGCATAATATTACTATCATAATTTATCATAATTAAATTATCATACTTATCATAAGATTGTTACCATAATTTGCTTATGATAACATCAAATCACCGCTTATGATGTCTGCAGATAATTGATATTTGCTCATATCATATTCAACAGCATCATCATCCTCATTTTCATTTGGTTTCCAATAAGAAACTATATATAAAGCATTATTTTTTTTTTTAATGCTAAGAAGCCTGCCATAGTACATATCCTGGCTTTTAGTGTCAGCATCATACCACATGTGGCATATACTTCTTCCAACAGCATCTCCATTGAGAATGTCTTCAATATCTGCAGCTTCATTATTTTCTAGATCTGGGAAGAGTTGTTTTACCTGTAGAGGTACGCATTTTTTAAATATTTTTTCCACTTTTCTTCTTTCTTTCTCCTCCTTATTTTGAATCTTTTTAGCCATGCGTTTAATCAATTCTGCCTTCTTTTTTTCATGGCATTGCATGTTTGCTAAGCGCTTTTTACCGGCTGAAGAAATAGACCAGGCTATCAATTTATTTCGTATATCAGTAGGTTTTTCAGAAAGAAAATCAGCTGTCTTATTCTTGCATGCGCGAATTTTCGAAGACAAATAACAAAGTGTGGCATTAGGAGCTTTTTGCTTTGCAGCACTAAACATACCCACAAGTTCTTCACAGTCAATATTATGTGGACGTGCTGATAATGTCTGGGACTTGAGTTGGTCAGTTAAAGTCATAGTAAACTGTCGCTCATACTGACGGTTAATAACACTAATGACAGCATTTAGACAGCTGGCTAATGCATCTCTCATTTCATCAGTCCTTGGGCAAAAGCCTATGAGTGATTGAAAAACTGGATCATTGAGATCACCTCCAAAAAAATCTGTTTTTCGGTGAATAAGGGAAAGAGCTTCTGCGCTGCTTTCAACAAGTGCATTGCAAACATTTTTGATCACTTGGATGCCAGACAAATAGTCAAGTCCTTGTCCTGGCGCCACATAGAATTTTTTCATCCAGGGACCAGTCACTAACTTTCCAATTAAACCTAGAGCACACATCTCGCGTATACCTAAAATTAAATAAAATATACTATAAAAAAATAAGAACCAAACATTTTGATTATTAATCTATCATAACATCTAACCTGTATCAGATGTGAAGTCTTGGAAAAGACTATTTCTCAGTCCTCCACATAACACTACTCCAGAAAACAGAAAACTCTGAAGTTTCTGGTAGTGATGTATTAAAGTTCCACATGTATGAAAAAGTATGTGCAATCGATTTCCCCTATAGCGTGGTATAAGTCCTCTAGGAAGACCATGCTTGTCCAAAAAGGTGACAAAGCCTTTTGGATCACCTTTAAAAATAAAATTATAACCAAAAGTGCAATGCAAAAAACTTATTTTAAGCAAGTATGTTAACAAAACACATTTATTAAGTTCAGATTTAAATTCAAAATAACAACTTGAAATAAAATAAATTTAAAATATTAAGATGACATTATTATAGTAAAAATATGATAAGAATTTATCATATTTATTTACCTTTACCATCCTTGTAACGGAGTTTATTTAACTGAACAACAATGTTTGCTGCAAAACAATCTCTACCAAAAAGTTTCCCTTTTGAAGTTTCCAAAGCTTTAAGCGATGACTTGCAAGCAGAAGTAATTGTATCCAATGGGTGAAGGTGACAGTTCAGTTCATTTAGAGATTTTTGCCAAAAAGTGTTTAACTTTGTTATAGTTGCATGGTTCACTGCCACTCTGTCACTCATTGTGTTTGTTATGTTGCTGATAATCGTGCTTCGTACATCAGTATATTGTTTCCGGTAAAAGTCACTATACAACTTAGCAAGATTATCCACAGACTTTGTAATATGACTCATATAGTCATAAGATGTACCACCAGCAAGCTGGTCAATGGCTACAACCATACACGAAGATTCATTTGTTAAGTGCACAACATTGACATGAACACCCTCCTGGGTTGTGGCATCAAAACCAAGAGTCAAATTTTTTGTTGAGAATGCTATCTCAGCAGCCTGGAGTTCTGAAATAATACCCAGCTCGTGCATCATCTGCTCCACAGTTTTGCGATGTGGAATGTCACTAAATCTATACCCAAAGTGTTCTCCTACTTTATGAAGAAGTTGGGGCACACTGTGTGTAGGAACTTGACATGCTAGCATGTCATAGATAAGTGCCCTAATATCAGATGAGTAGACTTTTTTACATCTGGTGCTTTGTACTTTCTGCTGCATTTGCTCTATCTTTTCCTGTAAAATAAGCATATCATTTTGCAGGACATTAATCTCTACATTCTTGTCAGCAAGTTGTTGACGTAAGATAACTTCTTCATTAGACAGCTTTGTTTGGGTGAATTGCAGTTCTTTTTTCAAACGAAAATTTGAAATTTGAAGCTTATTCAGCTGTAAGTTTAGACGTTGAACTTTTAACTTATTCCGCAAACTTCGAATTGTCTTTTCTTTGCGAGCAATAGTCTCATTGAGATGTTTAAATCTTGGCCTTGTTTTAATTTTTTCTTTTAACACCTTTACATCCTCTCTATGCTTTCGTTTTTCAGTAGCAATTTCAGTAGCAAAAACACTTAATCTATGTTTGAGGAGTTTTTTTCTTGGAGTCAACTGGTCAGCTCTTAACCTGGATAACAAAGGACTTTTTTTATTAGGTGAAGACAAAATACTTTTATGTTTAGGAGATGAGGCAACTGACAAATACGAAACAGTTTTACTTGAACTTGGACTTGACTGAAATGAATCTGTTGCTGGAAATGTTGCTGCTTGACAAATAAAAGGCTCGTTGCAGAAGTCAACAAAATGTTTTGAATCTCTTAAAAAATTGCAAGCCCATTTTTTTGATACATTAACAAGAAGTTTAGTATGACTGTAACAAATATTGAAGCCATAAAGTTTATTAACCTGCTCAATAGTTAATTGATGTGATTCATTATTGCTAACGAATACAAACAGAATATGCCCATTTTTACAATTGTTGTCTACTTGCAAAGACAATGCAAAGTTTGATTCTATATAGTTTTTCGCTGCACCACGAAACACACACATATTCTTTTTGGGACCCATAATACCATATAATGTCACGTTGAGTTATTTCTTAAATGAAAAAAAGAACATCCAGAGAAAATTAGTTACTTGCTTCTTTTTTAAGCAAAAAAATTTAATTGATATCATTTGTATGCAATAAATTTCAATTTTGTTCAATCATGAGTTAACTTTACCAATGACTTAAAATAATTTATTATGATAACAATTATAAGCTTTATAACCATATGGTTATCATCTGGTGATTTATCATCTATAATGTATCAATTATGTTATGATACTGATAATATTGTATTATGATAGTCTATGATTATGTGAGTGATATCTCACTCATTTTTCATAACCAACTTGCATATACTTTTTATCATGATAAATTTTTTTATATTTAGTTTAAAAATTATTTTGTAATAAGTAATAAGAATAACTATAAAATATTACTATATAATTCTTATCATTATATATCGTTTTTAAACCTACTATAAACTTATAAATATATATATATATATATATATATATATATATATATATATATATATATATATATATATATATACATATATATATATATATATATATATATATATATATATATATATATATATATATATATATATATATATATATATATATATATATATATGTACATATATATATATATATATATATATATATATATATATATGTACTATATATATATATATATATATATATATATATATATATATATATATATATATATATATATATATGTACATATATATATATATATATATTATATATATATATATATATATGTACTATATATATATATATATATATATATATATATATATATATATATATATATATATATATATATATATATATATATATATATATACTATTATTGTTATTATATATTATTAAATAAATATACATTTAGGGGGAGGGGGTTAACAACGATCTTTTAAAAAGATCGTTGCTTGCCCCCCCCCTACCTACCTTTATTCTCCGGAAAAAGTTAAACTTAGGTACCTGTGCTGCAACAAATAATAAGGTATCTGCTACATAATATTTTTCAATGAAATTTGGCACGCACTTAGAAAAAAGGTTTCTGCACAGGAAAAAATAGATTTAAAAAAGTTATCAACATTTTTTTTATATAAATTTTACATCTGACCAACAACGAATTTTTTCATAAACAGCTAACTTAATGATAGCGGTTGTAACTACTGAAAAAAGCACCACAAAAGTAAGGCCTTACTTTTCAACTTTTTTTTAAATATATAATTTGGTTCAAAACTCTACAAAATAACACATTCTTACAGCACATAAGTACCTATTTTGCTACAAAAAATTAGGTGTCTGCTACATAATATTTTGTAATAAAATTTGGCATGCACTAAGAAAATATGTTTATTCACTGGGCCCAATAGATTTAAAAAAGTTATCAACATTCCTTTAATATGAATTATACATCTGATCAAAAACAAAGTTTTTAAGAACCATAAATTTAACGATAGCGGTGGTAATTACAAAAAAGAACAGCACTAAAATAATGTTTAACTATTCTACTTTTCAAAAAATATATATGTTGATATGAAGTTCTATAAAAAAACACAAGAAAATACATTCTTACAACACATACGCCTTGCACGCTTCACTAAAATGGTCGAAGTTTTTCATTACAAGATCGGTGCCGTAAATTGAAAGATACGCGCATTCCTAAACAGTGGTATTCAGGTTAAAAATTGAAATGTATATATATATATATATATATATATATATATATATATATATATACATATATATATATATATATATATATATATATATATATATATATATATATATATATATATATATATATAAAGCTAATATAATAAATAAATGTAGCAAATAGATCAATTAATGTGTAAATGTAATATATAAATAAAGTAATATGCAAATGTATTATATAAATAAAATAAATAATGTTTATATATATATATATATATATATATATATATATATATATATATATATATATATATTTATAAATACAATTTATATATATATATATATATATATATATATATATATATATATATATATATATATATATATATATATATATATATATATATGTATAAATTGTATTTGTTATATTAATTACAATTACAATTAAAGTTACTCGGTACAGATATGAACCGTAAGTTTATCATACATTCATACAAACATACATACATACAAACATACGTTTATACATACATACATACTTTAAACATACCAACATACATATACATATATACATACACACATACACATATATATATATACCCACACCCACATATACATACATACAAATATACATATATATACACACACATACATACATACATACATACATACATACATACATACATACATACACTCATTTTTCTAATATGCCCTCCCTTTCACTGTTGCCTAAATGTTCAAAGACTGTAAACATACTTAACATATTATAGGACTCGTTGTTAGTAGAGAGACACCTACAGAAGGCTTTGGAACACGCGATAGACATTGCAAGCCCTCGAATCAACCTGGAACGCAAGAAGATGTTCAAGATAATGAATGGAGATTGTTTCTATCCGATGACTTACTGGCCACTCGATATTCAAATTATATTCTGGAACTATGTCACCTCAGACCTGGAAATTTTCAAACTGACAATATTTTTCCTAGGGAATGGTTGTTCGCCATTCGTTCTATTCACATTCCTCATTCTAGGGTTCAAAAGAGACCCATCTAAATTTAATAAACAAATTTATCAAATTAAATGGATTACAAAAAACTTAGAATCACATAACAGCAGATGGTACTACTTCGACATTCACTTCAATCAAATGAGATACCTCAACCAACAACCTCTCCCTTACCAGAAAGGAAACCGTGACACTATTTTTGACGATATCTGAAAGACGAAGAGTGGACATGAATCTTTATAAACAATACATTTAACGAAATAATATATCACGAACCTGTAATTTTTAAGACGATTTAGATGCTTATTTAAATATGTAAATATCAAAATATGCTAATACTGACTCATTTATATACTAAATAATTCTCATTTATAATGCTACTCATCACAGGATAACATAACACGTGTTGCTAAGCATATAACACACTACTGTATTTATTAACAATCATTGTTTTATGCATACACATTACATTTCTTCCCCTGCCAACATCTCCTATATAAGTATCTTGTGTAAGCATCCATATGTAATTATTAACTATTATCCACATTTGTACTCATACCAAAATACCACTATTTTGGCACTCACAAAACAAATGACAGCCATACCAATAATTGCCATACCACTTATATATAGTACAGAAACAATAAAATACATGCAATACAAAAATGATACACGCTATTACTTACCTTTAGGACAACGAACGAAAATCCACTCCATCAAATGAGAGAAGAGCAATTGGTCCATTCAGCATGAGAACCCTTTTTCCACCGGGCAAAAACTTTTGACATAACTGGGACTTTAAACGATGGGTGGACACCGAAAAGGTAAGAATGCTTACAGCACTGACTGACAAAATGATAACAAACATATCCGACCACGCACTGACAAATGAAGAAAAGGAAACACTTGGAAAAGGACTGAAATTTATACCCAACTTACAGAAAGTAGGAAGAGAAGTATACGAGGCTAGTGTGGAGAAATTTAAAAGAAAACTCGACTCAAGATGTTCTTCAAGGATAGAAAGGAGCAGAAGAGATCCGTATTCTACAAGAAATCCAGCTAGGTACCTCGAGAAACAGAGAATGAAAACATACTTGAATATTTTGGCAAGATAGACAAAGATCTAGAAGAGATATGGAACAGAGAGATACAAAGAAAAAGAAACAATTTGAAACCAGAGGTATGGCAGGCACTGAAAAACCTACAAAACATCCGAGACATTGTTATCAAAAAAACTGACAAGAGAGGAGGGCTCTGCATCATGAACAAAACAACCTACGAAGAGAAAGTGAGTGAACTACTAATGGAAAGAACAGTATACAGAGAGCTCCAGACTGACCAAACAAATAAGATTGTGAGAGGAATACTGACATGTCAAACTACATGCTTAAACTTCACAAAATTAACGAACAGACTGCAGAGTTTCACCTTCCCCACAAACCATGTAGACCACCACTATTTTACGGACTTCCAAAAATTCATAAACCTAACATTCCACTACGACCAATAGTCAGCGCATGCAGCGGACCTAGGGACAACCTATCAGAATACCTGACAAAACTCATACAACCACTGGTCGAATCACTACCAGCCTACATTAAAGACAGTATACACTTTCTCAACATGTTACAAAATATACAACTTCAATCTTCAGAATTCATCTTTGTGATGGCTGACGTGACATCACTCTACACCAACATCCCACACAGAGATGGCATAGACGCAGTAGTACATTATTTGAGGCTCATACCATTACAAGATAGACCACCTGACTGCCCATCACCAGGTATCATAGGCAACCTAATAGAAGAAATACTATCAAACAGTACTTTCTCCTTTGGTGACAAACACTACCATCAACTGACAGGCACATTAATGGGCACACAGGTGGCGCCATGCTATGCAAATTTATTCATGGGAAGGTTTGACGAACAAATCACTAAACAATTTCCGAACCACATTACTTTCTACAGAAGATTCATTGACGACATATTCTTCATTTTTCAAGGACCCATAGAAGTGTTAGATCAGATCTGCAACTACATGAACACCATCCATCCAACAATCAAATTCACTTTTAATCACTCAGCAACATCAATAAACTTTCTAGACATATTACTGTACAAAAATGAACAAGGCAACATTCACACGACCATCTATCGAAAACCAACTGACACAATGGGACTACTTCACTATGACTCACATCATCCCGCACACACCATTCCGGGCACCATATACAGCCAAGCTCTCAGATACTGCACTATCATTACAGAAAGAACTTAAATACTTAACTATAACACTAGTACAAAAAGACTATCCTCTGCACATCATCAACAATAACATTAAGAAAGCGCTTCATAAAACATAAACTTATCAACAACAGGTGCGCGCAGAAAAATACAGAAAGACTAACAATAGTTACTCCATATACTCCCATTGGACAACAAATCAACAGCATTATTCTTAACAACTGGAACATGATTGACCCTAACTTACAACTACAGGACGTATTTCCACACAAACCACTATCAATACATACAAACTTAAAATCTATTAAAGACTTACTAATACACACTAAACACCAACAATAACAACTGCACAAAAGAATATTAGCTTTTATTTCAACCTCTCTATCAACAACATCATCTAAATCAAAACTTCTTAGGAACAAAAATTCTGGTTCATCAAGACTCTACAAACTAACGCAAATTTATCATTGGTATTTTTGGCCTTGCTCTCCTCAGTCTGTTATTCAGCATAAAAGCCATTTCTAAAACCACATGCTAATCTGTTTGAACTCTGTGATACAGAGCGGTGAGTTTAAAATTCAATTTATTTACATTTTTTGGATATTTAGGCGGATTTCTTATCAATCTTGACATTCCCTGTATATCTTTGTTTATTTATAATTCTAAATTTAACTTTTATATAACAACGACAAGTTAATATTCATCATCAAGAACATCTTACATCTTCGTCATGATTTAAACCCAAAAGATAATATTTACTTTCAAAATCTTTTATTCTATACACAATTATATCTATAGACAAAGTATATGTACCAATATTTGTTTATAAGGGGACAAATGTCTATGTTTTTTCTTAATTAGCTACATGCTACTAAGTTTTTAACTGTAGTAACAGTTTATAAGTATGTACCAATATGACTATCACTTTATGTTGTATGTCTATGGTACAGAATGAATGTCATAAGATATCTGTGTGAATATTTACACTGGCATTCCTAAACAGATACACAAAGACCCTGGTCAATAATGACCAAGAAAAGAACATACTAAGTCTAAGACATACCACCCTATTACAAAATACTGGTGTTTTACAAACTTTGAGCACGTGCTCTATTTTAGCAAAGTAGTGTCCACAGGGTGTCGACCATTGGTCAGCCGCCAGACCTTCAAAACTCCCTGATGACAACTAATGGTCCTGATGAGAATGTCATCTTGACACTACATGGATAATTGGATATTAGAACACCTATATTTTAATCATTTACATTTCAATACAATTATGCTTATCATTCTAATATTTATACTTGTATTTCTAGAAGCTATATTTGTTGATTTATGCCTATAAGGTTATACTTTATTCAGATTAGGTCATCAAAACATTACTCTAACACCTATTCAACACGAAAAATGTGTGAAATAGCTATTGTAATGTATTTAATACATATAAATGATTTAGGGATACTTGGGAGAATATAGGTATATATAATCATAAGGATATATATATATATATGTGAGCATACACATGTGTGAGTACATACATACTCATATGTGTTTGTATTAGTACACATATAATCAAGTCTATCAGTGTGTGTATATGTATTTATATATGTGCTATAATGTATTTGTATGTATATTTGTATTTTCTTCAATGTATTTGCATTTGATATGTATTTGTATATATGCTTTAATATAATACTGCTAGAATCATACATAATATTTAATATACAATTCCGGTAAAATACAATAAAAGTACCACATCTAATATTCTTTCAATATTCACTGCATCTTTTTACTATGTATATTTATCATTTTTATGACGCTAACAACACCGAACAAATATTGATGAAATGAATCATTCTACTCCAAATATTACCACTGCTATTCATCAGTCAGACCAAATACTAACAGTTCAGCTAACCATAACCATTACAATAACTGACTTCTACTGTCACCATACATGCTCTAAAATTTTGACTATCATCTACAATTTACTCTAACAATCCTGTCAGGGTTATTATAATAATATCTTAACCATCTGATATCTACTTAAAAAACGAATAATTCTACACCAGCTCTGTGACATACATCTGACAAATACTTAAAAAACGAATAACTCTACTCCAGCTCTGTTACATACATCATCTAATAGCTTAAGACACAAGTCACTATGAATATTATTAAGCAAAAAACAGGCCATGATTTTCAAAAAACAAATAATTCTACTCCATTTTAAATATTTCTCGTAACATCACAGTCACGTGGCTTATGCGCTGTGATTCTTTTTACTTAAACAAAATACCAAACACTTTTTTGAAACCTCATATTAACCGGTTAAACTACAAAACTCCATATTATTGTTATGTATTAGTGGTAATTTTTATAAAGATTATTAGTTAAAAAATTTATATATTAGTTTTTGTTGTTATGCTGATGTAATTCCAGTTTAATATTTTAGATCATCTAGTTGTAATAGTTTGTTTACTCTCCAGAAACACGTCATGACTACTAAAATTCACGTCTAGCTTACGTTACACCAATTTAAAGGACATTAAACTATTTTTTATACTGATAACTCATACTATTGAGGCATGCTACACACGTAAACCACATTAACTATTTACATTACACATACCTAAATATACTCAAAGCAGTTCACAACTCTCATTGACTCATGTTATACTTTGACGAAACACTGTACTTATGGACACTCAAGTCAAAAAATTACTAACTATTGTTTGCAAGTTATACTGAACCCTACTAATTGTCCTCTGGTCTCAGTGTCAATTCAGGAATCTGTGGCAATCGTCCTGACTGGATAATCTGAGAATAGTCTTTTTGGGATAACACAATGGGATACCTTAAAAAGATACCCTGGTGTAGACTCAGAGTGGAACTTCTTTTGGGATACCAGTCTCGGATGAAAGCTGGAGGTCTTCATGTGTTCATATTGCACCATAAGGCACAAATCCATACTGTACTTGAGACGTTCATGACACTTATATCTATAATGGATGTTTATCACCCTAATAATACAAACCACATGGTGACTACTTATAAAACGAATAATTCTACTCCATTACCAGTTCTACCCACATGTCACATTTACGCCAGACACTAATAACAATTTAATAGCACAACTAATAACTTTCCTCGACTATTGTTTAGTTTTCTTATTTATTTTTTACTACACTTTACTTATATCAGTTTTAAATATTTTTCCACTTTAAGGCTCTTTGTTTTCCACTGGACATCTGTCCTTTTGTACTTATATCTCACTCTGCTAAACTCTTTTTAACTTATTATTTATCCCTAAGGGGTTTACTGCTCGGTGCAGCTTCACTAAAATGCATTTACAAAAAGTATATATATATATATATATATATATATATATATATATATATATATATATATATATATATATATATATATATATATATATATATATATATATATATATATATATATATATATATATATATATCCGAAATCATAAATTTAATAATTTTGTTTAGATGTGTTATATAATTTATACCACAATAAATTATGATATGAAAAATTAAGTAGGATATAAGGACAACGATTAAAGAATAAATTTACTTATGGAAATTTAGATGTTTGTTGATTAATTTCAAAATATTATAATATTTGTGAAGAAAAAGTAAAGATACTATTGCATCAAGTGTCTATTGCACTTAATGTGTATATTATTGTAAAGTAGGTTCTTGCATGTTTTGTTTTATTTTTTTGTTTAATGACTTTTCCTAATTGAGCACTTTTTCTCAAATTAGATTCTCATGAACGGATACAAGCTCTTGTCAAATTATGCATAATACATTAGTCATTGTACGTAATAAATGAAGAACTAATTACGTGTGAAATAAATTCCAAGTTAAAGTCATTAATGACTTCAATTAAAACTTCAATTAAAAATTAAACTTAATTAAAACTGCTCTTAATTAATTAGGCTTTTAATTACGATTTTTCTTATTATTTTAATCTATAATAACCGTATAATTTAGTTTGATTTAGGTTATTAATGATATTTGTTTTTATTAAAATTTATTTATAGTTATATTTGTAGATGAATATATATATATTTTTAGGAAATGCTTGCAGAAAGTAGTTTTTCTTAATATGGTAAAAACCTTAGCATTGAGCAAGCCAAGGCGATTTACTTTATTAATTGAATCGACAAAAGTTGAATTTGTCAAAGTTTTCAAAGAAAGTTTTGTGCGCACCTCCTTTTGAATGTGGCAAAATGCAAAGTCATGCATGTTGGACGCCTAATCAACAAATCGACTGAAGACTATACAATGCTCGATCAATTTGGAAACAGAAAAACCCTTGAAAGCACCAATAATGAAAGTGATCTGGGAATAATTGTTTCTCATGTCTTGATAGTGAAATATCAAGTAGAAGCGGCATCAGCAAGAGCCAATTGTGTGTTAGGCTCTCTTAAAAAAGCTTTTAGAAGCAGAGGACTTTCCTTGTGGAAAGTCTTGTACACCATATATGTAAGACCACATCTTGAATTTGCTATACAAGCTTGGTCTCCACATCTACAACGAGATATAATTATGCTAGAATGCATTCAACAAAGAGCAACAAAAACAGTCACAGAAATCAAACATAAATCATATGAGGAGAGGCTCCAAATCCTTGGACTCACAACTCTTGAAGAAAGAAGAAATCGAGGTGATTTGATTCAGCAATTTAAAATCGTTCAAGGCATCGAAAAAATAGAATTTGCCGTACCACAGGTGTACGCGCCATCAATATTAAATTACTGCCTAAGAGGACACAACCGAAGATTAATAAAGCAAGTAGTCAAAAATTGCGAAGAGAGGAAGCATTTCTTTACTAACCAAGTAGTAAATGCATGGAACTCGCTTCCTGCAAAAGCAGCATATGCAGTCTCGTTAAATTCCTTCAAGGATCACATTGATGGAAAAGTAACAAACAATAGACACAGCGTGTGTCTTTAAGCTGTCAGCATAGTAGTGCCTGGTGTCGCACTACTTCATTAGAATTTTTAATAATTTTTGTATCGTAAATTTCTAATTCTAAATAAACAAATTAAAAAAAATTAATCTGTAAAAAGTGAACGCTTATTTAGCATCTGGAAATTCCACATCTGGAAACATTTGAAGCAAAAAGAAACAGACTATTACCCGAACATGGAGAACAGATTGCATTTTTAAATTATAATATGCCTGCTTTCATTGAATAAATTATTATTAATTAAATAATAGACTGTAGCTACTTAGTTCAACTGATTCAACTTTTTAACAAAATTTAAAACAATTACCAAATTTTATGTTCAAATTAAAATAATGACTACTTTTATATTTTTACATTTTTATGAATTCTTTCAAATAATTAACCGTAGATTACTTTATTTATCAATGTCTAAAATTTAGTGATGTTATCTTTCCTATACCTGCTAGATATATAGAGTTAAGACTCTAAATTTCACTCTCTACAAAATTTGTTTAAATTTTTTAAAATATTGGCTTTGTTTTATAATTTTCCTAAAATAGGCTTGTAGGCCAAAACATACAAACCTAAAGACGAGTTTCCACTCATCCGTTTTTTTACGGGAACGGGAAAGGGACGGGAAAAATAATCACGTGTGCATGCGTAGTATAAATTTTAATATGTCTGAAGGAAAACTACGCATGCTCACGTGATTATTTTTCCCATTCCTATCCCGTTCCCGTGAAAAAACGGATGAGTGGAAACTCACCTTAAAACATTGATATATAATTTTAAAAGCAGCTCGATTATTCAAATCACCGTGGTTAAGTAAATTGAGCTTTAAATTACGTATAACTTGAGCCGAAGCTTCGGCAAAGTGGCATCGGCCGAAGCATCGGCCTCGGCAAAATTGCAGCTTCAGTACATACCTACTAATCTATAATCAAAAGAAAATTGTAAAAAACAAAACAAAAAATAAAAAAGCAATCGCACCTAAAAACTAAAGATAATTTAATAGGATAATTTAAAGAAAATTTAAATTAGAGACTAGTTAATAAGATAGTTGTTAAAAAAGAAGATAAAAGAATCTTAATTCATTAAGGGGGAAAACTCCTCAAAAAACTAATTTCTAAAGTAAAGCAATAACAAAGTTATTACATGTTCCAAATAAAAGTATACAAAATGTTAAGAAGATTTATAGAAAATCGCACTCCGTTACCATAGCAACTTAGTAACTAAGGAAAAATGTCAAATTAGTTTCCCCACCCTGGCAAAGATTGCAGTTAATAAGAATTATACTTTTAGCTGATTTTTTTCCAACTTATAGTAGAAAGATCAATGCAATAAGCAGACAGTTCATGAAAACAATTTTTCTGTCAGGTGGTAGGCCTGTTAAATTTTGGCAAACATATTAAGAACAAAAATAATAAACGTTTTCTTTAATTTCTTTAGTTTAAAAAATGTTTCTAAAAAGTTGTTTGTTCATTGCATACATCTTTATGAGAGGAATACTTCCTGAAAGTTTCATTCAAATTGGTCAAGCGGTTCTCAAGATATTTCTGCCGGGAGATTAAAAACACGCGTTCTGAGAAAAATGATAAACTAGTTAAAAATGCGATGAAAATAATAAAAAATAACAAAAATACAAAAAATATTATATAAAAAGAGCATATTAATAGTAGTTTTTAATCATAAACACCAGCCCCATACGTATTTCCTTCTTTCTGTTTTAATTTTCAGATTTTTTTATGTTTGCGGCTTCTTAAAATCTTTCTTTATTTCTTAATGTTGTCTTGATTTTTTATACTCTGACATGGTAATACTTCTCTGGTTCAAGTAATTGCATCCAGAAATGGTATGGTGTCCTGGTATCATATTAAGTCTTTCAAAAATAAGGGTACTAGACTTTATTCCAATATTAAAGGCTCCAATAGCTTCATAGAATCCAAATTTCAGTTGCGTAAGCGAAACATACTTTGACACTGGTATTATGGAACATATCATATCATTAAAGCTTTAAATTAGATTCTTGGTTTTTCCATGAAGTGAAAGATTTAAGTAAGCATTTGATGTTAATTCGACAGAAATAGGGTTTAACTTAAGTACAATTTCAATAGGAAAACCTGGTCCTGGTTTATTCTCATTGGTTCCATAAGCTAAATCCCAATTGTATTTACACCAACTGTCTTTACCTGGTAATAATTGTTAATTATTTTTACTTGAAGATGCTACATAAAATAAACTTGCTGAGGCTGAAGATCTCATACCTTTAAGGTTGCCACAATTTTGACTAATACAAATACCAAAATAATTTTGCAGTCGATCAATTGATCAATAATGTAGTGGTCACTCCGTTGTGTGAACACTATCCCTTTTTTTCCATGTACCATCAACAGAAACTCCAGTATCTGCTATCTCATTAGGAGATTTGTCTTCTTTGAGTTCTTGTACAGCTTTATTTATAGTTTTATTAGCAGCAGTTTGTGCTGCGATTGTCAATTTCTGAACAATAACATTGTAGCTTTTATTGCATAATCCTTTTTGGGATATCCTTAAGAGTGGTGAACCGATGTAGACCAGCTTGGCCTTGATCAAGTGTTCTCATGGCATGCACCAATCTTTTACTAATATCATACCATGCTACATTTTTTGATGTATCAAAGTCTAATTTAAAACCACAAACACAAGTTAAAGGTAAATTTGATACATATTCTTTTTAAGGCTTTTTATTCTCGCTTAACGACAACTGTGATTGTCGCAAACATTCTGGGCACCCAAGTTTATCAAAAATGGAAGTTAAAAATTTCTATATCAATAACCCTGTAGTGACATATTTTGAGTTTCCACTTGGTACCATTGCTTGCTTCACTTTTTTTTTGATGCACTTATAAATAAACTTTCACTTCCAATATTTACAGAATCTACAATATTTACATCATTACTATTAACATTATTTACACCAATATTTACAAATTTTTTGTGTTTTCTTAAATCATAAAAGGTACATTTACGTTTTTGAAGACTTTTAGTAAAAAATTTAACTCTATCACTATTAAATTTTGTTATTATATACTATTATATACTTGTCCATTTTTCTTTATTTTTAAAGAAAGCTTGTGTTAATTGTGTACAAGCTTGAAGAGATGACTTATCTTAGCACACTTTTTTAAATATGTTGTTTTAAAATATTTGTCTTTAAAGATAGTGGAAAGAATTTCTAACAAAACGGCAACAAAAAAAGCTCCGGAAAAAAAGCTTGACTGGGTGTGTTTTATTGACATTTTTCTGTAACTAAGGGCGTTGCTAGGTAAAATTGAATTTAGGTAGTTGCACAAAAATGTTTTTAATAATATAAAAAAA